TGACGAGGATGGTTATAGTACGCAACAGTTTTCTAGTGGATTTCGTCTTCTTCATTTTTGTTTCCCATTTGCATCGCTGTTTTTTTATATATATATTATATAATATAAAATATTTATCTTGCTATGTTGATTGTATACCTTTGGCTCATTCATTAATTCTCTCTAGGTCTGGAAGTTTTTTGGAAAGATTAATTTGACTTGTTTTGTATATCTCTCTTCTCTGTCCAGCTTGCCCATGGTTGAGAATGCATCAACGACGGTAAATCAGGGGGAAGATAGATCTTTGTTTTTAATGGTAACTTTCAATAGGGGCAAATACACTAATGCCATATATGAAGTTAAATTCAGATTTGGAGGAGAAGTTGATGATATGGGTGCACGAGTAGCACGTGTAGCCAAGTTCAGTGGTTCCACCCATTTGGGTGCAAGGATTTTCGACCGCTCCCAACTATATGTGTTTTCAATGGAGGGTTGGGATAAACCTTGCGTTAAGTCATTTGGAGGGTATATCTTTGATACGAAAACTAGGGCATTAGATCACTTAACACCTTCTACCGTACAGTTTAAGCAACATGGAATAGTTGTGTCGGCATATGGCACACTTTATTTTCTTGAAGCCAAAACGGACTTCGTACAAGGCCCAGCCTTATTCTTTGGGAAATACAACCCTGATAAGAAGGATTGGGTGCAAATGCCTTCGTTTCCATTTTCTCATAGTTTTCGTATGGGGGTAATTGGTTATGCCGTTGGTTTTGGCGTTATTTTGTATATATTGTCCGACTTGCACAGAAACTTTGATGTCCTTGCTTTTCATGTGGGTAGAAAGAATTGGAAACGAGTGGAAATTGGCACTTGTACTCCTTTCCGAGGGAGGGCCGTGATTGTAGGCAAGACTATCTATGCCTTACATGTGTTTCAGGTGGGGGCGATCATAGCATACTCCTTGGAGATTAAAGAAGATGATGACGGTGGTATTGAATATTCACTAGTCCAGCTATCTGAATTAAAAGGCCTTGACATTGCAGATCCGCCATCACAATTTGATGGACTTGTAACCGACTATTTGGTTCATCTGGGAAACCAAGACTTCGTTCATTTTAAGACTGGCACTAACGAAGAATGTGATAAGGTGCAAGATCTTTGTATCACCACGTTTCAAATTGTTCAAGGAGGAAGAAGACAAATGGTCGAGACCTTACATTCAACTGTTCTTCCTGTGAAAATCAATGTCCGTAATTGGTTCACGCTTACGCTCGGCTTTACTCCGTAAGTTTTCTTCACATTTCTCGTGTTTTCATCAATAACATTAATCTATACGTTGGATTTTATTGTTTACGATGATTACGACTCTCAGAGAATGCGGGGATTATGAACCCGAAGAAGGTAAGAGTGCAGCCAGCATGAAGCAACCAAAACAAGAAGATGACACCACTTTGGATGAGAATTCTTTGATGCATGAGGTAAAAGGAGGTAAAAGAAATGTGTTTACGATTTTTTTTTCTTTCTTTAATGACCATGAATCAAGAGACTCAATTGTTTGCATGCCTATAAGTGTTTTTATTAGCATTTGGATCTAGTTTCTCACATAATATAATTGGGTTTTGCAGGAAGAAGCCAAACATGAAGTAGCCTTAATGCATCATGAAAAAGGAAACCAGAAAAAACCCAAGAATGCAAGCGGAATAATTAAAAACAAAAGAAAAAGAAAAAGCGGATGGAAGGAGGGATTACATGTAACCAAAAAGAAGAAGTGGGATTACAGGTAGACTGTAATCTTGACTCTTTGATTAGATAGTATGGAGGCATTTTACTGCCATCTTGGCCCCCTAATTGATATTGCTATCTTTTGTTTTTGTTAAGGATATTTGAATTAATGATCCAATTTATGTTAAGGATTCAATTTAATTAATCAAACTTTCTTTATCATGAGTGATATGATACATCTCATTTGATCTCTCTAGTTCTATTTTCTTTTAAAACATTCACAAAACGAGTGCGAAAATAAGACATGGTATGTGATGTGTGTTGCCTTTTGCGTTGCATAGAAGAATGAAGATGTATGCACAGGTTTCATCTCAAGAAAATGACATTATAAAAAGTTATGTCTCCTAAGTCCTCCCAACCAATAAGCCTTTGTTGTAATAAAAGGGACCAGTACTTAATTACAAATGAGGATTATTTGACTAAAAGACAGCCCAGGACAAAAATAAATAAAATTAATTCATTTATAGGGAACTAAACAGATGTGCTAATAATCCTATCACTATGTCTATAATTTTTTTTCTTTGAAAAAAAAGGAAGGAACTAATATAATTTATAATAATCAATTCACTACTAGCATGTAATGTAATATGAACGTCCTAACATTTTTTACCAAAAACAAAAAAGTCCTAACATAAAAGCAGACATGAGCTTTATGGCTCGTTTGGGAGTGCTTCTTTCCGAAGCGCTTATGCCAATAACGCTTATGTTAGTAGCGCTTATGACATAAGTGCTTCTACAAAGAAGCAGTTTGTCATTTGGATGTCACATTTAAAAGTACTTTTATACTACATAAAAGTGTTTTTGATATTTTGTTGAGTGTTTGGTTGACACAGTAAAAACGCTTTATAGCAATGGCAACCCTTCCCAGTATAATCTCTCACAAAGCCATTTATGTTTTCCATTAATGCATCCGTCTTTTTCCTTTTCATTCAATTTCAATCAAAATATATGGAAAGTATATATGTGCTGAAATTTGAAAGTAGTGAGCGACGGAGGCAACAAACAGACAAACAAGCCATAAATTTAAGCAAAAGGGAAAACACCATGACAGTGTGAAAAGCTCTGTCTTTTGTCTCTCTATCTGTATGAAAAGCTCAAGTGGGTTCTGTCTTTCTGGGTTGCTTGCTCCTTTCTCTTTATTTCCTTCTTTTCTGTCTTGGGTTGTTGTGCTTTTAGTATATTTCAAGGCTGAAGAAGCTAAACTGAAGCTGTTTATTGATGGGAAGATAATAGATGCATGCAGATATGATCACAACGTTTTTCAAGGCTTTGTGTTTATATAGGGAGTTTTCTTTTGGGATTTTTTCAAAGTTCTGGCTTAGTCTGGAAGTTTGGGAACTGGAAAGGGTGGAAAAAGGTCTGAGAAGAAGAAGGCAGAAGAAGAAGAAGGGTGTTGCTAAAGGGTGCTAAGGTTGAAGCTTCGTTGCCGACCAGAGTTAACAGTGTGTGTGTGAGAGATGGAATAGAAGCTGTGTTTTTGTCTGATAAGTTTTGGCGTCTGTTGGGCTTTTCGCGGGTAGTGATAAGTGTATTATTTCCTATATTTTTACACCTTTTATATGTAGGTTTTGTGGGGAAAGTTAATTAAAAAGAGTATTATTACTTTACTTTCCTTATTTTCAGCTATTCTGCGCTCTTGGAAGGATTTCAACTGAAAATCAACTTTTCGAATGCATTTTAGTGCAAGACCAATTGTAGAAGAAAGCTAAGACATTGAAGATCATTGTATCAAAGTTTCATAATTTTCTACCAAGCCAAATGCTCCAGACCTGCAAGTCAAGACAGCCTAAGTTGAAATCCCGTCAGAACTGCACTGCTGTGGAAGAGTGAAGATTTGAATATCTTTCCGATTTTTCCTAGTGGTGTGTAATATATGCTTGGAAAGCTTAGAGATAAAGCTACGTTTCTCATATTTTTCCAGAATTTTCTAGGAAGTGGAACAACCCCAAAACGTGCGTGCAAGTTGGCTGACGTGTTTCCAAGTCAAATAAGGATTCTTTCCTAGTTTGTTTCCTTAATTGTTTGAGATTTTGTTTTGCTTTAGGAGAGTTTTTCTAGACCTTTTTGAAGTAGGGTTTAGTTGTTTTATACTATATAAGGTCACCCTAGGATCTCTTCATGGTATCACCTTTTTCCACCATCATCTACCATATTTTTCCACCAACTTTCATACACCCAGAGAAATATCAGAGGAAGCCAAGAATTTGCTGCTGCATTATTTGAGGAGCTTTTGAAGGTGTTCCTGTGAAGATTCTGAAGATCAAGTCCATCGGCCAAATTGGTTTTATGACAATAATTCTCTTGTTTATATTTTCTTCTGTCATGAACTAATTTCCCTTGCTAGGGCTACGATGTAGCCTAACCATGAATACTCAATTTTTATAGTTATATTAATTCCTTATTATTATCCCATGTTGAGTATTTGTTACTGTTCTTAATGATTTAAATATCTAGCTAATATTTAATTGATGATCCAAGCGGAGACCGAGAGGAGATGTTTGGTGTTTGCTTCTTGTAACAAATACCATGACTTGAATGAGTGCCCGAGAGGGACTAACATGACTCATGCAGTTTTCTTGTAGGTTCTCATAGAACTTAATGGGTTCTTAGTTTTCTAAATCCGTTGCTCGAGAGAGAATGGGTTGTTAATTGAGAATACTTTTGGTTGAGCCCGAGAGGGGATATCGAATGAATTAGGAGAAACCAACTGTCAACAGGGATAGTAATTAGGGTTAATTGGCTATAAGAATTAAGTAGAATTGGTTATGGTGAAATCGGATGCTCTAGTGTCTCATCATCTTAATTTTCTATCGTTAATTAAATTGTTATTTTTCATAATTATTTTAGTTTTCTTGAATCAATCAATCTTCTTAATTAACTGTTCAAATAAACTTCTAAATTAATCATAATTGGTAGTTAATAGGAAATTACAGTCTTCGTGGGAACGACACTCTACTTATTTCTATATTACTTGTACGAATTGTGCGCTTGCAATAATTTCACAACAAGTTTTTGGCGCCGCTGCCGGGGACTGTTTTATTTTCTATTAATATCAATATATTTTAATTCTGAGTTTAATTTGAATTTCTTCTTTTTGTTTCAGGTACTTTGATCCGTGTATGCACCGTTCTCGTACCCTAGAACTCATACCACTTGACCCAGAAATCGAACGTACGTTTCATAAGCGGAACAAAGGAAACAAAAAGCACACTTTGGTGGAACCACCATCCACACCTATGGCGGAGGAAGCAGAAAGAGCCGTGGGGGAATTTGGCCCCCCAGTGGCAACTCCCTCAGCGATCCGACGTCCTGCTATTGCAGCCAACAATTTTGAGATCAAACCAGCCATGATCACCATGCTGCAGAATTCATCTGTATTTTGTGGTCTACCGAATGAAGATCCCAACATCCATCTTGCGATATTTTTGGAGATTTGTGATACGTCCAAGTTCAATGGAGTAACTGACGATGCGATTCGTTTAAGGCTTTTCCCCTTCTCCTTGAAAGATAAAGCCAAGCTTTGGTTACTGTCACAGCCACAAGACTCCATCCGTACTTGGGATGATTTATCTAAGAAATTCCTTGCTAAATTTTTCCCACCAGCCAAAACTGCAAAATTCCGACAAGATATCATGTCATTCGCTCAATATGATAAGGAACCTCTATATGAAGCCTGGGAACGATTCAAAGACTTATTGCGCAAGTGTCCTCACCATGAGCTACCAACCTGGATTCAAGTTCAGACCTTCTACAATGGGTTGAGTCAAACAAGCAGGACACTAGTTGATGCAGCTGCTGGAGGGGCTTTAATGGCAAAAACGGCTACCGAAGCATTTGAATTATTGGAGACCATGGCATCCAACAACTACCAATGGCCAAGTGAGAGAATGAATCTGAAGCCAGCTGGGGTCTTGGAAGTCGATGCTATGGCTTTGCTAACAGCACAAATTTCTAACCTTACTAAAAAAGTTGATTCTTTAAGTGTTAATTCTATAAACACTAGTACTAATTTTGGTTGTGAACTTTGTGCAGGCCCTCATCCAAGTTCAGAGTGTACCACAGGGAACCCATTTGCGTCTGCTGAGCAAGTCAATCAGGTTGGAGAATTGAATCGACAAAGGAATAATCCTTATTCCAATACATACAACCCCGGTTGGCGAAACCATCCAAATTTTTCATGGAGCAATACTCAGAATGTGCAAAGACCACCACCTGGCTTTCCGGCTCAAGAGAAGAAAATAAATTTGGAAGATGCTCTTACTCAGTTGACTATGTCTACCACCCAATTCATGACTGAAACAAAAACTCAATTTCAGAATCAGCAAGCTTCTATTCAGAATTTGGAGGTGCAAGTTGGCCAATTAGCTAATGTCATAAGTGGAAGAAACCAAGGAGTATTTCCAAGCCAACCTGAAGTTAACCCGAAAAATCAAGAACAAGCAAAGGCAATCACTCTTCGCAAAGGGAAGCAAGTAAATACAGCGATCGACTTGGAAAAAGAAGCATTAGAGAAAGAAAAAGAAGCTAAGAAGTTTGCGGCAGAAATGGGGCATGCATTTTCACCACCAATCACCACCACAGAAAAATCCCAAGAAGAAGAAAATTCTATACCAATTCCTTCTCTTCAATTGAAGCCATATGTCCCACAAATCCCTTTTCCACAGAGGTTGAGAAAAAATAAAGTTGATGGGCAGTTTGCAAAATTCTTGGAGATGTTCAGAAAGTTACAGATCAACATTCCTTTTGCTGAAGCTTTGGAACAAATGCCAAGTTATGCAAAATTCATGAAAGACATTCTCTCCAAGAAGAGGAAATTTGGAGAGCACGAGAAAATCCAACTAACAGAAGAGTGCAGTGCCATCTTACAACGGAAGCTTCCACCAAAACAAAAAGATAGAGGGAGTTTTAAAATTCCATGCACTATTGGAAATAATTTCTTTGAAAGAGCTTTATGTGATTTGGGTTCTAGCATTAACTTACTACCTTTATCTGTTGCTAAAAAGATTGGTATTGGTGAAATTAAACCCACTACTGTTTCTTTGCAGATGGCGGACAGGTCAATCACATACCCAGATGGAATTATAGAAGATGTCCTAGTAAAGGTTGATACACTCATATTTCCGGCGGATTTTCTGGTTTTGGATATGGAAGAAGATTCTGACACGCAGCTAATTTTGGGCCGCCCATTCCTGATTACTTCACGCACTCTGATTGACGTAGAAGAAGGCTTACTAACTTTGAGAGTTGGGAATGAACAAGCGACATTCAAAGTTTTTGAAGCAATTAAATTTCCAAGAGAAGCGGAGGATTGTTTTCACATAGAATTAATAGATGAAATTGCTTCAGACACATTTAAAAAGGAGAATCCGAGCCATCCATTGGAATCTACATTGGTCCATGCTGCTACCTCCCAAGATGACAACCCCATGGTTGCTGAATATGCCTTATATTTGGATGCATCACAACCATACCATCCAAGGCAAAGGAATCAGTTCGAACCACTAGGAGCAGCACCTCCTAAGGCTGCACCTTCTGTAATTGCTGCACCTACACTCACTCTGAAGCCATTGCCAACACATTTGAGGTATGCTTATTTGGGAACTTCTGAAACTTTACCAGTTATTATTGCTGCAAATTTGAGTGAAACTGAAGAAGAAAAAGTATTACGGGTTTTGAGAAAACATAAAACTGCAATTGGGTGGACAATCGCTGACATCAAGGGTATTAGCCCTTCTATGTGTATGCACCGAATACTAATGGAAGAGGAGCATAAGCCATCTGTGGAGCATCAACGCCGATTGAACCCCAACATGAAAGAAGTGGTTCGTGCAGAGGTATTAAAATTGCTTGATGCAGGTATTATTTACCCTATATCTGATAGTAGTTGGGTAAGTCCTACACAGGTTGTGCCAAAGAAAGGAGGGATGACTGTTGTAAAAAATGAAAATAATGAGTTAGTCCCAACAAGAACTGTTACAGGATGGAGAGTCTGCATAGATTACAGGAAATTGAATTCTGCAACCAGAAAAGATCACTTCCCACTGCCTTTTATTGATCAGATGCTAGAAAGACTTGCTGGGCATGCCTATTACTGTTTCCTAGACGGATACTCAGGATATAATCAAATCCCTATCGCGCCTGAAGACCAAGAAAAAACGACCTTCACATGTCCATTTGGCACTTTTGCCTATCGTCGTATGCCTTTTGGGTTATGTAACGCTCCTGCCACTTTTCAGCGTTGCATGATAAGCATTTTCTCTGACATGGTGGAGCGATTTATTGAGGTATTTATGGATGACTTCTCTGTTTTCGGTTCATCTTTTGATTCTTGTTTGGATAATTTGGCATTGGTGTTGGCAAGATGTGAAGAAACCAATTTAGTTCTCAATTGGGAAAAATGCCATTTTATGGTACAAGAAGGAATTGTGTTGGGGCATAAAATTTCAGCAAGAGGTATTGAGGTTGACCGTGCAAAAATTGAGACCATAGAAAAGCTACCACCCCCTTCTACAGTGAAAGGAATTCGAAGCTTCTTGGGACATGCTGGGTTTTATCGTCGATTTATTAAGGATTTCTCAAAAATTACAAAGCCTCTTTGCAAGTTGTTATTGAAGGATTCTGAATTCAACTTCGATTCAGACTGTTTGGAGGCATTTAATTTATTGAAGAAAAAGCTCACCACTGCACCAGTCATTATGGCACCTGATTGGGAATTACCATTCGAGATTATGTGTGATGCCAGTGATTATGCTATTGGAGCTGTCTTGGGTCAAAGGAAGAATAAATTACTACATGTAATTCACTATGCAAGTCGTACATTGAATGATGCTCAACTGAACTATGCCACTACGGAAAAGGAATTGTTAGCAGTGGTATTTGCATTGGATAAATTTCGTTCTTACCTATTGGGTGCGAAGGTAATTGTGTATACGGATCATGCAGCTTTAAAATTTTTGCTCGCCAAGAAGGAAGCAAAACCAAGACTAATTCGATGGGTTTTATTACTTCAAGAGTTTGATATTGAAATTCGAGATAAAAAAGGGTCTGAGAATGTGGTGGCCGACCACCTCTCTCGGCTAGTCCGTGAGGATGAAGTTATAGAAGATGTTGGGCCTATCCTAGAGACATTCCCGGATGAGCAATTATTTTCCATCAACTCTGAGAAAGAATTCATCACTCCCTGGTATGCAGATTTTGTAAATTACCTAGCTTGTGGTATTCTTCCCCCTCATATGTCTTTTTATCAGAAAAAGAAATTCCTATCATTGATTAAACATTATTATTGGGATGATCCTTATTTGTGGAAGCACGGTCCTGACCAAATTATACGAAGATGTGTACCTGAGACAGAGATGGCTGACATATTATTGCATTGTCATACTTTGGCATGTGGAGGCCATTATGGTGCTTCCAAGACTACGGCCAAGGTTCTACAATCTGGATTTTTCTGGCCTACTTTGTTTAAAGATGCTCAAGACTTTGTTGCAAGGTGTGATCCTTGCCAACGTACAGGAAATATCTCTAGTCGAACCCAAATGCCCTTGAATAATATTTTGGAGGTGGAATTGTTTGATGTTTGGGGTATTGACTTCATGGGTCCGTTTCCGGCATCATATGGGAATTTGTATATTTTGGTTGCAGTGGATTATGTATCCAAATGGGTCGAAGCAACTGCCCTACCCACGAATGACGCCAAGGTTGTGGTCAGATTTCTACGAAAGAATATTTTTACAAGATTTGGGGTCCCTCGTGCAATTATTAGTGATGGAGGTACGCATTTTTGCAATCGTCAATTTAATTCCCTTCTTGCAAAATATGGCATCACCCATAAAGTGTCTACTCCCTACCATCCGCAAACTAGTGGGCAAGTTGAAGTTTCGAATAGGGAATTGAAGAAAATCTTGGAAAAGACGGTGAGTGCCTCTAGGAAAGATTGGTCATTAAAATTGGATGATGCACTATGGGCTTATAGAACGGCGTTCAAAGCGCCAATTGGGATGTCACCATATAGACTTGTTTTTGGGAAAGCATGCCACCTTCCGGTGGAATTGGAGCATAAAGCGTTTTGGGCTATTAAAACACTCAATTTTGACATGAGTTCAGCAGGGGAGAAGAGGAAGTTACAATTGAATGAGCTAGAGGAACTTCGAAATGAATCGTATGAGAATGCGAAAATTTACAAGGACCGTACAAAGAAGTGGCATGACAAGCACATCTTGAAGAAGGAATTTTATGTGGGTCAAAGCGTTCTCCTCTACAACTCACGGTTGAAACTTTTTCCTGGGAAACTTCGCTCTCGTTGGTCTGGGCCATTCACGGTGTTAACAGTGTATCCTTATGGGACGATTGAAATCAAGAACGATCGTGACGGTACAACTTTCAAAGTTAATGGCCATCGACTCAAACCTTATGTGACAGCCGCATTTCTTGAGGAGGAGAGCACCGTCCTACTCGATGATCCCAAGTAAACGCATCCAAAAGTCGGGCTATTGACTCTAAACTAAGCGCTTGTTGGAAGGCAACCCAACTAGGTACCTTCGTTCCTTATCTTTTTAATTTTTATTTGTGTGTTTCCCTCGTTCATTTATTTTACTATTCTTTGTCCTTGCTCTTATTTTCTATTTAAACATTGAGGACAATGTTTCATTTAGGTTTGAGGTGGGTAACATTCATTTTATTTTTTAATTTTTTCGTTTTTAGTCTTTTTTGAGTCATGCAAAGCATTGGTGTTTATGTTTCGATAATACTGTTTTAATCTGTGATATAATTGAAGATTTGGCCCGCGTTGCCTTCTTCAGTTTTTCGTGCTGAATCCAGCCATATAAGGCTCGTAATTTTCTGACTTTTCGTTTGGAAGTTATAGCTGTTTTTCTGAACAGGGGTCTGGAACTCCAGTATTTCTGCGATTCTGTACTGTGTTCTGTATTTAACGTCAGTTTTCATGCAGTTCTAGTCTGTTTTCTGGTATTTGGTCTAAAGAAAAGTTATGCGTTTCTTTGTCTATTTTCTGAGCATATAAGGCTTGTCAAAATCCATGCAGTACTTTAAGAGATAATTGTTGAAAACTGATCTGAGGTCAAAATTGAAAAGAAGCAGTTTTTGTGAAACATAAATTCTAGTTAAAGTTGTCACTTTTCCTTGCTAATAGAGATGTATATGCCATGTTTTGATCATGAATGCTTTACTAACGTGTTGCCATGAAGGGTGATTGCATTATAATCTTTGCACTTCACAATACCATACTCGTAATGTTTTGGTGGACAAGGTTGCTATGCTCGAATGACTATGGAATAGTAGTGGAGACTACCTTTGTGAGATAATTGAGCCAAAAGCCATTTTCTTTGAGAGGGGTTTCATTGTTTCTACTCTTAAACACTCTTCGATTTTATTCTTAATTAGATTGCTCTCATTAGGTTTGTATTGGATACTAAAGAATTTTCTTATTTTTGTAGGTATGTCGCTTCCAAGTTGGATGGACCATAAGAGATGATGTTAGGCTATGCATGTTTTCACCCTCTAAAAGACTTTTCATCCTACCCCTTTGTGTGCGTCATTAACCCCTTTGCAACCAAACACTTAGCCCTTCCTTCATCACTCCTACTATCTTTTAACCTATATAACCCGTTTCTAAGCCATACCTTATAGCTTAGGATGTGCCAAAGTGATGAAAATAAGAAGGTTGGGCTCTACACCAAAGAATTGGCGTGTACCGAGGTGTTTGTGTAAAAATTGCAAGAAAAAAAAGAAATATAAGAAAAGAAAA